AATCATTGCTAACAGCTACACCTTGAGTTAAACTATTTATAGTTGCATTAACTAAGACTGAAAAAAATAATCACCCTTGATACTTTCACTTTCATTTCCTAATGTCATCAACAGTTTTATTTGACCGCATGGGTTCTGATGTACAGGATATGATGATGAGAAGTCTCTTCTCATGTCTCAGAAGAGCTTAGAGAAGCGGTTTGGGCAATCTCCTGTTTTTATAGCTGCCACCTTTATGGAACAAGGAGGGATTCCACCATCCACTAATCCTGCCACTCTCTTGAAAGAAGCAATCCATGTTATTAGTTGTGGTTACGAAGACAAGACTGAATGGGGAAAAGAGGTAAATGACTCTTTCCTGTTCCCACTGACTTTGTTAGTGATTTGGAAGAAAGAATTTTCATCTTTGGTGTCGCGACTATTAGGTCACTATAAATTTCCGTCACCAGCTTTCATTTTTTTTCACTTTTAGTGCAACTCATGGATTTGTTGCCTGATTTGGGCCTTTTTTGGTCACATTCCTGCTAAAACCAACCGAGATTTCTACAGAAATCAATAGTCGCACACCAAAGTTAGGAAGAAATGAAAAGCGATGACCAAACGTAAAAATGACCAAATAATCTTACTACCAAAAATTAATTTTTTTTATGTAAACCAATCCGGTTATTTTTCTTCTTTGAATTACAGATTGGATGGATTTACGGTTCGGTCACAGAAGATATCTTGACGGGGTTCAAGATGCATGCGAGAGGATGGATTTCAGTATACTGTGTGCCGCCTCGTCCTGCCTTTAAGGGGTCCGCTCCCATAAATCTGTCTGACCGTTTAAACCAAGTGCTTAGGTGGGCCCTGGGATCCATTGAGATTTTCCTAAGCAGGCATTGCCCTATATGGTATGGGTACAATGGGAAGCTGAGGCTCTTGGAGAGAATAGCGTATATCAACACCATTGTCTATCCAATCACTTCCATTCCGTTGCTTGCTTACTGCATTCTTCCCGCCATTTGTCTTCTAACGGGGAAGTTCATTGTTCCCGAGGTAAAACTTCTTTGACAAGTTTCTATGTGACGTCCAGTTTTCCCTTGGACAAGTGGTAATGGTTGTTGGGTAGGGATATTAAATGATATAGTAAAGTAAATGGACAATTTGCTGTTTTACCAAAAAGGGAAAACAGAGTTTACTTAAGGACATATAAAAACGGAAAAGGAAAGTAGGAACGCTGTATATTATTTCTGGAAACCACGATACAACACACATAACTCAATGAATGGTTTATAATATGCTAAGAATGCAAGAATGTACATGTTGGCCGTCCTTCTTGGGAGATGTTTTCTGCTAATCAGTCTGATTTTCTTTTAAACACTAACTTATGGGTCTAGGCTGCTTGAATTGGTTGATTATAGAAAAAAAGTAGTACATAAGTTTCTACTTTGGCTAAAATTGCTGAGATAAAGGCAAATGATACTTTGACCCTCGTTTTGAGATACTTTATGCCTTTATCTTTACCACATGAAAAAGCGTGTTAAAAATATTTTCTAAAGATATTTCAGCAATTTTAATCAGAATAAAAAAATATGTGAAATGACATTAAGACCCTTATTTTGAGATACTTTTATTTTAATTTCATAAAAAAAAGTATTTTAAAAATATTGTCTAAGGATAACTCAGCTAGTACCTGCCTTTAGCCAATTTAGGCACTTCAACCAAATTTTACTCTTACCTAGTAGACACTTGATGTTTCTCTTAACATTATTATTTGATTTGTTTACCAATTCGCGGTAGCCTAGTGTAGATTTTTTTTAGTTTCTACTTTCTATACTCTCTCTTTGGATGCCCTCTGTCCAAAAAAAAGTCACATTTCGAATGCCCTAGTGTGTCCCAAAACACAAGGGGTGTGGGGACACATGGTACATTTTGTTAAACTAACTACGTTTTAAAAATGAAGTGTGATAGTTTTATCTTGTAAAATTTAAAGATTTCTACATTGGTTAAGTAAAACTAATTTTTATTTTGGGCATGGAGGTAATATTAAACATGACCTCTGTATCTGTGCTCAGCAATTTGTAATGCTCATTTCTATACAGATAAGCAATTATGCTAGCATATGGTTCATTCTCCTCTTCATATCCATTGCCACGACGGGAATCCTAGAGCTGAGGTGGAGTGGGGTGAGCATAGAGGATTGGTGGAGGAACGAACAATTTTGGGTCATCGGTGGCACATCAGCCCATCTCTTTGCAGTCTTCCAAGGCCTCCTGAAAGTGCTCGCAGGCATAGACACAAATTTCACGGTCACTTCCAAGGCATCTGATGAGGATGGAGAGTTTTCCGAGCTCTACGTCTTCAAATGGACCGCCCTCATCATCCCACCCACCACTGTCCTTATTGTCAACCTTGTCGGCATCGTTGCTGGTGTCTCCTTCGCCATTAACAGTGGGTACCAGTCGTGGGGCCCACTCTTCGGGAGGTTGTTCTTCGCCATTTGGGTCATCGTCCATTTGTACCCTTTCCTCAAGGGTTTGATGGGACGCCAGAACCGCACACCCACCATAGTTATTGTGTGGTCCATCCTTCTTGCATCCATCTTCTCCTTGTTGTGGGTCCGGATTGACCCATTTACATCGGACAGTGTGAAAGAAGCTAACGGAACCCAATGTGGCGTCAACTGCTAGTTTTGGTTTATGTAGAATAAAGTGCTGGTGTAAAAGAGTTACTGTGGATGGTGTTATGGCAATGTTGTAAGTCTCTTATTTATTTCTGTATTTATATACATTTTGAAATGTTATATTTATATGAGGGAGGTGAGTCCTAAATATGACATTGATAGTATGTTGCATTGTTACATAACGTTTTAAAGAATACATACTGATACTGTGATACATGTATCAACCAAGTAACCAACCATGGCATCTTTGATAGATTTTTTTATGACAATTTATTCACCTTTTTAACATTAAAGTTGAACAGTTTATTATGGTGTACAAGAACTATTGTGAAGGAGTAATGCAATTGGTGTTTTGAAAGATGGATTAGCAAGGAACTTCTTGTAAGCTTGGGATGATAAGAATGATGTTTCCTTTGTCTCATACTTTTCTCACTTTATCCTTTTTATACCAAAATTTGAGTGTCTTTCTTTTTTAAGATAAGGAATTGTACTGACTAAAATTGTTTTTCTTGTTTCTCTAGACATATTACAATTTCATGTGTATAATTTCTAAGTAAAAGGAGAATAATGTGGGAATGTTGTTAATGTAGTGAATTGGTCAAACTCATGAAAGACTTGAAAGTTAGAAACTCTTTGGTAGGCATCATGATTCATGACCTGGTCTATTTGTTCTGTTTAGGGTCTTGGAGTGACTTTGTTCGTCCATGATGGCTACCCGGTCCCATTTTACTGAATTTGGGATCGAATCGATGGTCACAGTTTGGGTCCCCATGGGCAATTTTTTTTATGTTTCACCTTTGGGACCGAATCGAGCAAAAAAAAAAAGTAAATTAACAGAACCTAATTTGAAAATGAGACTTGAACCAATTGAGTACCCCAAATCGGTCAGAAATCGGAAATAATCGAGTTGGACATAGTCTTCACTAAATTAAATTTTGCAAGGTCTAGGCAGTCTTCACTAATTGTATAGAAAACTAAATTGGAAATGTATGGTTGCGACGTTGCGATTGAGTAAGGAAAAAGTAAGTGAGAAGAATTTTATAAGACATAGGGAGTACATATTTATCTTCATAGTTAAATATATCATCTTGAAGTTAAATTTAAAGAGTACATATTTATCGACACCTTAATCAATTTGCTTAAGCTAGTGTTAACATATTCTTGGTATATACAAAATGTAAACCACTTAGGATACTTTTAATTCGACCGGTTTCACCTTAGACAAGATCAAAATAAATAGATCATATCAGACCAGACTTAGGATGTTTTCTTTTGGACTGTTTTCAGTCCCAGACCAGATCAGATCAGACCAGGCTTCTGTAGTTATAAAATACACGGAGACCAGACATTTATCAAACCAGACCAGCAAATTTTAATCCACAAGAAAACATCCTTAAATAGATCAGACCATATTAGATTAGACCATATGAGATCTGTTCAAGCATCGATAGTTGTGAAATACACATAGAATAGACATCTATCAGACTAGACTTAGTCCATATCATATCATACCATGTGTCCATGTACTTGGTTTATACAGATTATAAACCGATTGGGATGTTTTTAATTGGACTGAAATTTTAAGGTTCAGTCTGATCTTGTCTGGTTTTGAATTGATCTGAATCGGTAAATTTTTAGTCTCTATGATTGACAACTATCGAAGTTTGGTCTGGTCTGGTCTGGTCTGGTCTGGTCTGGTATGATCTATTTAAGTCTGGTCTGATTTTGTCTAGTCTATTTAAGTCTGCTATTGTCTAATCTAGGAATATGAAATTAATCAAGGTAAAAACATCCTTAATATATTCCCTCCATCCCATAAAATTCTTGTTTGACTTGAATCTGAGTTTAAGAAAGTAGGAATAAAGTAGAAATGTGTGGTTGTGATTGAGTAAGATCGAAAAAATTAAAGTAATGTTACTCACTTGGTTTATACAAATTGTAAAAGCTTGAATATCAAAGCCGTGATTTTTCGATTGTTGCAAACAAAAAAATGCAGCATAAAATCAAAGTGAGTTACAAAATGCAACAACATTTAATATGTTTATATCTTAATCTCATTGACGAATATGTATGTAATACAGTGCCTATTCATTTTAATGTTATTGTCTCGTTGGAATCTTAAATTTATTATCTAAAAATACTATAGACTTCATTTTTCAAGAATTAAATGGTTGGTGCATATGTAGTATATTTTATAATTATAATAAATGTAATGGATAAAAAGTGAATTTTAAATATAACAGTTTTAAATTTAGAGAAAATTTCGTGAACGCTGTTCTTTTACTAGGCTTGGTAAGCCGCGGTTGTAAGTCGGCGTGTTTTGTTCTGGTATTAGGGATCTCCTCTCTCGGCTCTTTGCACCAGTTGTCATGGGGGACGAGTTGGATGAGGGGTAGGCGCTGGTAGTCGGTTGTTTTGGTGAGGGCTTGAACGAAGTAGGCAGTGGATCGGTGATGGCAGGCGACCGCAGTGTGCTGCAGGTGTGGGAACAGTGGGATGTTCATGGTCGAGAACACACCTATGATCGTGGGGCCAGAACAGATGAAGATGAAGTATTGACAGTCCGTCCACCTCTCGAACCGGCGCCTTGGAGCGACCGTGTGACCAGGCCTTGGAAGTCGAAGCTTCACAGGTGGATTTGTTCGACTGCGACTTTGTGATCATTTCTCCTTCAAACTTTGTTTGGTTGTACTTCTTTATTTGGATATTACTTGTGTGTTTTGGGTAGTTCTTGAGATCGTCGATTGTTATGTTGTTGTGGATGAAAGTATTTTGACTTCTAGGGCCGATCGTTTCTTCAAATCTCTCGCATGTCCAAACAAGAGTACTATTCTTTTAGGGTGAACTATTTTTCGTTTGTTTGATTAGAGAGTGAGGAGTCCTTTTGTTATTTGGGAGCTAGGTGGAGATAGATTGTCATAAATTCTTGCTTCAAGGAAAACAAATTTTCAAAAATAAATTAACTTGTAACATGTTTTTGTTTCACTAATAATATTAAATCAAGTGCAATTCGTAAAGCAAGAAATCCATATGTTGTTGCACTATTTTCATAATATCCAAGGAAAATGCAATGAAAAGTTTAGGACTCAAAATCATCTTAGGATCAAGTTATAAAACTTTAACTGAACTTATCTACTAATTCGATCGTTTGCTCAGAGTCTAGCGTTGCACTTAATTTGGTGGATTGTTGTTCTTTATTGTCGCCTTTTTCCCAAAAAAATCAACACTCGTGTCACTATGACGCAGGGCGACAATTTTCGGCGGCGCACTAAACCGGCCAAATCACATGTGCACGGGTTAGACCTGCTCCCAATCTTCTTTTACCCCTTACAAAAAGGTCGAAGTATTTGAAGTGTTTAAAAAAAACCTCCACAACTAGTGTCCTAAACAAGAGTACAAGACAGTAAAAGTTTTATTCACTTGTATACTTACAAATTACGTTACTCATAGATTTCATGCTTTTTTAAAGGTCACTCATAGGGGTGGACCCGGACCAGTCGGTCCAAGTCCCGGTCAGCGATAGGGGAAGCCCGGGTCCGATCGGTTGAATCCCGGACTGGGCCAGTTTCAGGTAGCCATGTAGGTCGATCTCGAGCCGAACCCGATCCAGTTATTATTTATTTTTGTTTTCATGACATAAAAATTGGTTCGTCCGAGACCGAAACCGGGACCGAAACCACTTGATTCATCCCCAAATGGGTGAAACGGGAAGGGGTAACATGTTTGGGCGGACAATGGACGGTCCCGGGCCCGAACCAATTTTCCAAACCCGATCCAGCCCTAAACAATGTTGGACCTAGTTCCAGAGTCCAGACCGGTTGGACCGGGTCCACCCCTAGTCACACATATCATGTCAAAATTTGAATGGTGAAACAAACGTAGTTACGTAGGTTGCACATAGGGATGGACCGGGCCGGGCCCGACCGGGCTTTTTTTGCAAATGTAAGGCCCGGGACTGGCCCGGGTAGCTGGTGGTTCCGGGTCGGGCCGGGCTACCCGGACGGGTTCCGGGTCAGGCCGGTTTGGTTCCGGTTTTTTTGTGTGGGTGTTGTTGTTTACCAATTAATTGAAGAAATGCTAGATAAAAAAAAAGTTAAAGTATATTTATTTGAAATATGAAGTACAATTGAGAATTGAGAAAATTTTAATACATGAAAGACAATTTGTAATAAATACTAATCAATCGGAATCTCCACCATCTTCGGTTGTTTCCTCCATAAAGTTGGGGGTGGGTGCAATGCTAAATTCTTGAAGAGTTGAAGAAGAGTTGTAGAAAAATGTATAGAAAATATGAGTATATATAGGATTTTTTTGTACCCCTCCCAACCCCCATGACCCCCCTCCTCTACCTATAACGGGATTAACGGCTATACAGCCATTTGGGAATAATCTCAACGGCTAGGAGGACTTTTTAAGCCACTTTTTTTAAATAGCCGTTGCGGCCCTGCCGGGCCGGTTCCATTTTTGGCTGACCCGAGCCCGCTGTCTCTAAAACCCAGTGTGGTCCACCCGGACTGGTCCTGGGCCCGGTCGCCGGGCAGGGCCGGTCGGCCCGGTTGCGGTCCATCCCAAGTTGTACAGTCACTTTAGTTCGTATTAGATCTCAATAACGTTAATGTCAGTTAGACCGGTTTGGTTATAAAAAATATAAAATATAAAATAGAAGAGAGTAACTCATTCATTTTATGATGCTTTGCATTATGATTTGCTGAAGACAATAATTTGGGAATAGATTAGTTTATGGTCATTTTGTTAGAAACTGATAAATAAGTTTATACCATCATTGATATGCGACTCAAATGGCTTTTGGAATGTACTTCGTGTCTACTTTAAACAAACTATAGAAGAGAGAGTAGTAACTCATTCATTTTATACTAGACCCGTTGCACGGCAAATATCTAGAGCAGGTAAAAAAATTTAAAATTGTGTACTAATAATTGTAAAAGTTAATTTGTTGTTTTTCTTTTACTTTGTTTATATATGAAAATACTTATATCTAAACATTAGAGTCAAAAGCAATTGTAAAGGAAAGAGATGGATAAATATGTAAAGCAAGCATGCTGTCACGGGCATAGAGTCTGGCGCAGCACACAGCGCCCGTGCGGCGTCCCGTGATCCCTCTCATCCCCGCGGACAAGCCTCGCTCTCATACGGAACCGGACTGGTTTCACCCTGCCTTGAGCTCATCAGGGGAACGGCAATAGCTCCCGACCAGTTGTGCCTTCAGACACGCCTCCGTCTCCTTCATAGTCAAGCCCCATGCCCAACTCGGCCAGACCTGAGCGTCTAAGGCAGAACCCTCCTTGACGCTATTGCCTCCCACATGCCTCACCCGACATGCTAGCCAGTCGGTCCGTCCCACTCATTGAGCCTAACACGGTCACGACCAACGGTTCGTGACATTCCCCCCCCACCCAAAATCTAGCACGTCCTCGTGCTAGGGGAGATGACTCTGCCCAAGAATCACCATGCTTAATATTGTCAACGCGCCTCATCACCAGGCCGCTTCTCTCTCATGCAGCCCGGCCGAGCTGATGGCCACCCGAGTTCCCATTCCCTCAGGAACCCATCCGCCCCTGCGGACCATCAGGAGTGGAGCCGTCATCAGCACGTACCGGCCCTAGAGCCACCATGCTCGCATAGTCCTCATCCCTCACGAGGACCCCACCATAACACGCGACAATATAAGCATGACCGGCTCTGATACCACTTGTCACGGGCATAGAGTCTGGCGCAGCACACAGCGCCCGTGCGGCGTCCCGGGGTCCCTCTCATCCCCGCGGACAAGCCTCGCTCTCATACGGAATCGGACTGGTTTCGCCCTGCCTTGGGCTCATCAGGGGAACGGCAATAGCTCCCGACCAGTTGTGCCTTCAGACACGCCTCCGTCTCCTTCATAGTCAAGCCCCATGCCCAGCGGCGGAACCAGGGGTGGGCGAGCCGGTGCCGGCGCCACCCCTTCGCCGGCGTCGTTAAGGTATTTACTGGTAATATTTTGGCCGGCGCCCCTGAAGCCTTCTACTATCTCAGTCAACCGGCACCCGACGCCCCTGTCTTTTGCTCGCTGATACGAAACACAAAGCTACGAACTAAGGTTTAGAAAATCATTTAGCTGAACGACATCGTTTGATGAAGTTAAAAAAGAAAAAAAAAACACAAAGTGAAACGACGGGCAGTTATTCAATAAACGACATTCCATTTTCTCAATATTAAAAAATTTAAAATAATTGAATAAACATTATGTCCTCACAATCGTAAATTGACCGTTCAATTTTCTCAGCAGCTCAGCCCAAAAAATCGAAGAGGCCAGGAGGAGGAATTGAGGAAGACTGATGATTTGAAAACCAGCCACCGCCCGCCGGTGCCGTGCTGGACCGCTGACCATCTCTGGAAGCCGGAAAATGGAAGACATGGGTGCTCCCTGCTGCGCCTTTTGGTGAAGAGTTGAAGACTAAAGTGGTTTGTGAGAAGGTAATGTTATCTTTTGATTCTTTTGTTCTTTTATTTAATATGTTTTAATATTTGTATGTGTGAATTGTAATGTGTTATTGAAGTGTGTGGCCTTTGTTCAATATTTTATTAGATAGACAGTTTACTCGACCTTTGTATTATTCGTTTATTTCTTTTAGTGTGTATTTGTTAAGGGAATAATCTTATTAATTTAATAGTTAATTTATTGATTAAATGTAAACCATGGTTTATTATAATATGAAGTTGTTGTATAGTTTGTTAGGTTAATTATGTTAAAATTTCTAATAACGAGTGAAGAGTCTTCAAAAACCTCTACCGAAAAAAATAAAAGGTCAAAATTATCTTCTGTTGAATTCAATTCTGATCGATAAGGTGGTTGCTGATTAAGGTTTAGGTAAATCTATTTGTGATTTTGATTCTTTGAGTAGAGGTCATGCCTAAATCTATTTGTGATTTTGATTCTTTGAGTAGAGGTCATGCCCGTTTTGAGAATTAAAGATGTTTTTTTAATTAGATTGATATTTTCTATTCTAATTTGGTCTGGTCTGGTAGATGTATGGTCTGGTCTAGTCTGAACAGTTCGGGTCCGGACTGCAAAACGGTCCAAGCGAAAACATCTTAATTAATTAAGGGTTTTTGAGTACGTAGTTTTGATGCTTCATCGGAGCATGTTTCTCAGCACCGGCTCAAAAAAAGTTCTGGTTCCGCCACTGCCCATGCCCAACTCGGCCAGACCTGAGCGTCTAAGGCAGAACCCTCCTTGACGCTATTGCCTCCCACATGCCTCACCCGACATGCTAGCCAGTCGGTCCGTCCCACTCATTGAGCCTAACACGGTCACGACCAACGGTTCGTGACAATGCGGTTAGAAAGAATCCATCGCCTCCAAAAGAACACCCGGAGAGTGGTCATGTTTTACTCCATATCTCTTGATTCAATTGTGTAATGAGTAAATAACAAAACTTATTTAGTTTCCACTCAAACGGTGGAATCTCCGAATGCTGACACCCCTCGTTTCGATCCTACAGAGCTATGAAATGAAAAATATTTCACATTCTATTTGACGGTGAATTACTCGTAATTAATATTGGAAATGAAGACAAATGCTACGTAATTTATAAGCAAATGTGAAGTAATAACTGATTAAGAATTTGACGTTTCCAACTCTCACACGAAGAGAGTAGTTGTCCTTTTGAGAATAAATCAATTTGAATTCCTTGAAATAAACCTGGCAAGCAATCTTATCAAAACTACCATTTCTTTAGTGGTGAT